CTTTCCTTTGAAAACCTTTTTTCAATTAAAAAATTTGACAATCTTTCATACCAAGCTCTAGGAGCTTGTTTTAAACCATAAAGAGCTTTTGTCAATTTAAGAACATGATCTGGAAATTTTGAATCTTCAAAACCTGGAGGTTGTTCCACATACACTTCTTCTTTTATAAAACCATTTAAAAATGAATTTAAATTCATGAAAACATGCAAATGCTAATAACATTCTAATTGCTTCCATCCTAGCTAAATGGAGCGTATGTTTCATAGTCTATGCCCTCTTCTTGAGTATACCCTTGAGCAACAAGTCTAGCCTTGTTTCTCACTATATTACCACTCATCAAGCTTATTCCTAAATACCCATCTAGTACCTACAGTAGATTTATTACTAGGCCTTCAACTAATGTCCATACTTTACTTCTCTCAAATTGATTTAACTCTTCTTGCATAGCCATAATCCAATGTTCATCATTTAATGCTTCTTTAATATTCTTAGCTCTATGCATGAGATAAATGCAACATAATTACAAATATTTCTAAGAGAAGATCGAGTTGTTACCCCTTTTGATGGATCACCTATAATTTCACCATCCTTGACATAGTTGTACTCTCTTGGATAAGATACTTCCCTTTCTTCAATGGTTGGATTCTCAAGAGGATCATGAGTTTCCTCATTTTTCGTTTCTTCCTTTGATGATGGTTCTCCAACTTCATGTCTAACGTCATTGTATTTATAACACCTACATCATCATTCACACAAGAATCCTTCCTCGGAAGGGGATTATCATCGAAAACAACATGTATAGACTCCTTCTACAACTAAAGTTCTTTTATTAAATACACGATAGGCTTTAGAATTTAAGGAATAACCCAGAAAAATTCCTTCATCACTTTTAGCATCAAATTTGCCAAGGTTTTCTTTACCGTTGTTTAAAACAAAACTTTACATCCAAAAGGATGAAAATAACTAATGTTAGGCTTTTTATTTTTGAAAATTTCATATGGAGTTTTCTTTAAAATTGGCCTAATCATTACTCGATTACAACATAAAAGCGGTATTTGTGGCTTCCGCCCAAAAATATTTTGGCAAATTATTTTCACAAAGCATGGTTCTAGCCATTTCTTCTAAAGTTCGATTTTTCCTCTCAACAACTCCATTTTGTTGAGGGGTTCTAGGTGCTGAAAACCCTTTTCATTTGGATTATTTTGAAAATGTAATGAACTGTTCTAATGCTTCATTTAGTACTTAAAAAGAAATATATCTAGAATAGTCACTACCAAGACAAATGCATATTGTTTTCCACCCAAGCTAGTAGTCCTAGTTGGCCCAAAAAGATCTACATGGACAATTGTAATACTCTAATAGTTGATACGTCATTAATGGATTTAAAAGAAACACGCTTTTGTTTTCCTTTAGCACAAGCAGCTCAGATTTTATCATTATCAAATTTAAGCTTAGGCAACCCTCGAACTAAATCACTTGAATTAGCCGTTGCAAAACACTCATACTAGCATGTCCTAGTCTCCTATGCCTATAACCAACTATCATGTTCATCTTTAGCAACTAGGCATAAATTAGTCATATCAAAAGAATCTAAATGCACCATGTAAACGTTCCCTATCTATGACCAACAAGCATAATCCGATTAGATGCAATGTCAATGACTTTACAACCATTAATTTCAAATAAGACATTGAATCCTTTATCGCAATTGACTAATACTCAATAGATTATGCTTTAATCCATTCACATATAAACATTCTTAATTTTATGGAAGATGTATTACCTATTTGTACCAATACCTTCAATGTGACCTTTTGAATTGTCTCCAAAAGTCACTTCTCCTCCATTTTTGGCGTAAGCTCAATGAACTGGCTTTGTCTCCGGTCATATGTCTTGAGCATCCACTATCAAGGTACCATGAATTTGAATTTGTTTCCCGTGCCTTGTAGCAATGCTCCTTTCCCTACAAACATAGATTAACTTTTGATTTTGGTACCCAAATTCGTTTGGGTCCATATTCATTAGTTTCCAAAATCCTAGTCCTCTTAGGTATCCATTTGTGTAGGATATTTTTATCTTTAGTAGTAATGAGTTCTTTAGGAAACCCACATACTTCTAACGATTTTTCCATTAGAGGTTCTTTGGGACCTCTATGATTGTAGTTTCTAAAACTTTTTCTAACAAGTGGATTTTGATTTCCACCTTTTTCAAAATGTTTTGTTCCAAATTTATCAAAAGAAGTTTTAAGATCATCAATTTTCTTTTGATGATCATCATTGATCTTTGAAAGTAAATTTTGCAAATCTAAATTTTTCTTTTCAAACTCTTCTAGTTTGATTTGCAAGTCTTTGATTTTACTTTCAAGATCGTTGTTGGTTTTGGATATGAGTTTGTTTTCATTTTTCAATTTTGAAACATCATTTTTATATTTTAAAAATAATTTCTCATAACCGAAGCCAACCCATTATTCCTCTAATAACTCATCATAGGATAATCATCAAAATCGGATGAGTTAGAGGTTACCTTAGAATCTTCCCCAAATGCCATCAAGCACAAGTTAGCTACTTCTTGTTCCTCTTCATCGGAACTTTCTTCATCGGAACTTTCTTCATCGCTCCATGTAGCCACATGAGACTTGTGCTTATTCTTTGATTGACCCTTTTTCTTCAATTGTGGGCAATCATATTAACATGCCCTGGCTTTTTTGCATTCGTAGCAAATGATTGGGTCATTCTCTTTCGGTTCATTTTTGAGGCCTTCATTTCATTTGAATTTTCTTCCTCGATAAGGTCTCATCATTTTTCTGAACCGTTTGGCAAACAATGCCATTTCCTCGTCATCGTCATTCGAATCACTCTCATCTTTTGTGGATTTGAGAGCAACTCCAATGTTTTTCTTCTTCTCCTTCTCTTTTGGTGTCTCGTCAATTTTTTCTAGGTCCACCTCATCTTTGAGCATCATTTCATGATGAGGAGTGACCCAATTAGCTCTTCAAGAGTTAGGACGTTAAGTTCTAAGACTCGATGATGTCGTCTTCTTTGATGCCACGATTTTGGGAGGGAGTAGACTAACTTCCTCACAAGCTTTCATTTGAAATGATCTCTCCATATGATTTGAGACCATTGACAATCGTTGAAAATCTATCCGTCATAGCTTTGATATCTTCATTTGGTTTCATCCTGAAATTTTCATAGCTATGCGTTAGAATACTAATTTTAGATTTCTTTACCTCATCGGTACCTTCATGAGTGACTTGAAGTTTGTCCCATATTTCTTTGGCGGTTGTACACGATGAAACTCTTCCGTATTCATCTGGTCTAAGAGCACAAAAAATGATATGGATGGCTTTTGAGTTGAGCTGAAACATTCTTGTCTCTCCTTCACTCCACAACCTTGGATGAGTGAGAGGTTTGATGTATCCTTCTTCTACAGCATTCCATGCTCCTATGTCACTTGCTTGAATGAAGTACATCATTCTATTCTTCCAATAGGCATAGTTAGCTCCATTAAAGAAAGGAGGCTTGTTGACGGGCATCGAATCGAGGCCGGAGTCGAAGTTTGAAGCGGAGGCCATTGATGACTTTGATAATCGATATAACTCTTCCCGAATCGACTCAAGAGGCGATTAAACCTTCAAATGAGTTAGGCTCTGATACCAATTGTTGAGTTAATCGATCGACAGAATTAGCCAAGAGGGGGGTGAATTGGCAATTAAAAATTCGGTGGAAGCTTTTGCAGAAAATTGAAAAGATTTGCACATCGATTTAGAGTGGTTCGACTTTCTCAATCAAAGTCTACGTCCACTACCTTAGCTATCCACACTAAGGATTTTCCAACAAATTCACTAATTTGTTCTTTCTTTTGAGGCCAAAGAGATAACCTTACAATACCCTCAAGAATATACCCCAATTCTTGAGAACACTCTTTTCCCAAAGAGAATATTACAAATTTGCAAACTTACAAGGAAAACCTCACAAGGTAAGATGTTTGCACAATTCTAGAACAAGAAAAGAACACTTAAAGATAATTACAAATGAGCACAAATGGTGTTCTTGAAAGCAAAATGAATTGAAAGGAAAATTGGCTTGATTTGCACAAACTTGATGTTTGATGCTTTCTTTCTTGTTTCTCTATGATTTCTTGTTGATCAAGGGCTTCAGAACTTGTTTAAATACACCTTGAATCACTTCTGAACATTGGGGATAATTAATGAAGATAATATAGCCGTTTTAGTGTGAAAACAATTAATAAAACAGCTTGGAGTGTGGGGGAATCGGTTCCTCCTCATAGGGAATCGGTTCCCTAAGTGTAAAATTCAAATATTTCGACCGTTGAATAGGGGGAATCGGTACCCCCTATGGGGGAATCGGTTCCCTCCGAGCATTCTGGAAATCTCGGAGCCAAACCATTCAGGGGGGAATCGGTACCCCCTTGGGGGGGAATCGGTTCCCTCTGAGCAATCTGGAATTTTTGGCTTTGAAATGGTTTGAAATACTTTGAAAGATTATTTTGGAAATGGTTTTAAGATTAAAACTTAATTTTACACTTAAGTAAGGATTAAAAATGATTTTTGAAATATTTTGAGTAATGTTTTGATATTCGAATAATTATATCGAATATACTTAGAAAATCATTTTGGAAAATCTTAAAATTAATTTAACTTAATTTGTTATATCGAAATATCAAAATGTTTTCAACACAGTTCTATAGGCATAGGTGTTGTATTATCTCAAGATGGCAGACCTATTGCTTATCTTAGTAAAGCTCTTAGTCCTAGACATGTTACCCTCTCTATTTATGAAAGAGGGTATCTTACTATTTTATTAGCAGTCTCTAAGTGGAGACATTACTTAGAGAGCAAACCTTTTGTTATCAAAACATACCATGAACTTCTGAAGTATCTATTGGAGCAAAAATTAACTACCATAATTCAAAAGAAGGGATTGACTAAATTATTGGGGCTTGACTACACTATTCAATAAAGAAAGGGTAAATCAAATATGGTAGTAGATGCTTTGTCTAGGCGATGGGAATATAAAGGTCAGTGTCTTGCTATGGGAACTACCTTAGCAATCCCTAGCTGGGTGCAAGAAGTTAAAGACAGTTATAAGGAGGACAAAATGGTTATTGACTGGATTTCTATACTGACTGTAAATTCCAATGTTGATCCTAACTGGAAATATTCAAAGGGGATCCTTAGATTTAAGGACGAGGTCTATATTGGTTCTGCTGGCTCTCTTAGACTACATATTCTTCAAACCTTACACGATTCACCTCATGGAGGTCATTCAGGAACCCATGCCACTTTTCAGAGGATTAGATCTTATTTCTATTGGCCTAGGCTTAAAGTTATGGTGGCAACTTATGTAAGATCTTGTGCAGTTTCTCAACAAACTAAAGTGGAGCATATAGCTAAACCAGGCCTGCTACATCCCCTGTCTATTCCTCAGCAAGCTTGGGAGGTAATTACTATAGACTTTATTGAGGGTTTACCTATATCATTAAAGAAAAATTGTATTTTGGTGGTAGTAGACAAGTTTACAAAATACAACCATTTTTTGGCATTGTCCCACCCTTACTCTGCAGCTGATGCAGCTAAACTATATTTGGCTAATGTCTATAAGCTTCATGGCCAGCCTAAAATAGCCATTTCAGATAGAGATAAGGCATTCACTAGCCTCTTTTGGAGAGAACTAATAAAGCAATTGGGAACTACAACCTTATTCAGCATTACTTACAATTCTGAAATTGATGAACAAACAGAAATGGTAAACAAGTGTCTCGAACAGTATCTAAGAGGTCTCTTTTTTTCCAACCAAAACAGTTGGCAAAATGGTTGCCTCATGCTGAGTGGTGGTACAATACCACCTACCACACTGCCCTAAAACTAACACATTTTCAAGCTCTATATGGCTACAAACCTCCTACAATGATATGGCACACAGAGACACAAGTACAGACTATAGGAGAATTAATGTGTAGTAGAGAAGAAATTAGACAACTTGTGAAACTACAATTAGAACATGCTAGCAATCACATGAACAACAAGCAGATAAGAAACGGTCAGAAAGAGTATTTGCAGTAGGGGTGAAGTTTACCTAAAATTGCAACCGTACCGAAAAACTTCCCTTGCCCTACGAAAAAATCTAAAATTAGTAACCAGATTTTATGGGCCTTACAAAATTACAGAAAAAAATTGGAGAGGTGGCATACATATTATACTTACCAGAAACATCACGCTTGCACCAGTCTTTCATGTCAGTCTTTTGAAGAAACATATTGGTGAACCAGTAAAATCCTCAACAAATCCTCCTTTGGTTGATGAAGAAGGTCAGTTCTGAATACAACCGTGTAAGATATTGGGCAGAAGAATTGTTAATTGCAAAAAGAAACTTGTAACTCAATTGCTCGTTCGATGGACTAACTTGGATGACACTAATGATACTTGGGAAGACTACTATGTTCTCCGAGGCCAATTTCCATCATTTGATCCTTGGGACAAGGATCGTCTCAAGGGGCGGGTATTATCATAGTGGGAGGAGAAAGACGGGAGATCGAAGAAGAATTGGGGGAAAGAGAGAGGCAAGGGTTAGAGATTGAGAATGAATTGGGGATTACTTACTTGGCAAATAGGCACGTGAGAGGCACGGGTGGAGTTAAACAACAGTCCAACATATCCAAGTGGGCGAGCAGCTAGCCCAAAAGGAAGCCCAATTCCTATTAAAGATAACTGAATCAGTTAGGAATGACATCCAGCTGGCTTATCTAGATTCCTTAGTACTATATATGCAAATAAAACGGATACTTGTAAAGGAATAGAGTATGCATATTTTGAATGAAATCTGAATTTCTTCATCTTTTCTCTGCTTCTATTCCCTATTTTCTCTTCTCTCTATATCTCTAAATTCTCGTGTTCATCACAGAATACAAAGTTGTGAACCAACACTGTACATTATACTCTGAATATACTTCATAATAAATTTTAGATTTTCCATGATTTCTGAACCAAAAAAAAAAGATTTTTCATGATTGCAACTGTTTGAAATAAATTAATACAGTGAGAATTTAAATCAGGGTCTCTTGGTAAGAAAATCCAATGTTTAACCATTACACAAGCTTAGGAGTTATTTAAACAAAAATAAATTTAAGGCTTACATTGTAGGTAAAATAAATTAAAGGATCATTGTTTCTTTTCCTTTTTCTTTTATTTGAAGACCTTAAGTAGCATTAAGTCAATAAATTACAATACTTCTAAAAGCTTTTTTAATATATAAACCTATTTTACCATAATATATGGTCATTGTTACATTATTTTATTGAAGATGCATAGATCACCCGATGACTTTGAGAAGACGCATAGATCACTTAACGATTTTTCTCAAGATACATGCATGCCTGCATGCTAACAATGCTGTAATTTGAATGGTGTTTTTCAAAGACACTAAGTAATCCCAATGTCTTCAAGATATCTTCAAGTAATTCGGACGTCTTGCATAATATATTATAACAATTATCTTAGATGAGAAAATCTTTTAACTCTTATATATGAGTAATTTTTTTCTATTTTACCTTTTGTTTTAGGCTCAATATAAAAATAAGTGTTCAAATTATAATATTTTTCCATTTATGTGTCTAAACTATTTTTCGGTCAATTCATGCTCTTAACGTTACTATCATTTTAAGTACCTCGATTGTAACAGCCGTTAAAAATCTCTGTTAAGTAACGTGTGTTGAATTTATATAATTTTGAAAATTTTGTTTTTAAACAAAAATATTATTTTTAAAAAAATATAAAAAATAATAATCTCAATCCGCGTATCCCTCTCAAACACCCCCATGTGTGTTGCTTACCGCCCCGCCACCAACATGCGTGTTGCTTACACCCCTATCTCCGACGAACGACCAAAGGCCAAGGTGGCTAAATGACCAACTGTTACGGCTGGCTAAACGGTCAAACGGTGGGTTGCCACGGTTGGCTATAGGGATTGAGGGGATATTTTGGTATTTGAATGTTTGAGATTTTAAGGATTTAGGGATTTAAGTTTAGGAATTTAAGGGAGTGTGGCAACATTCTGTCACTGAAATTAATGTTTTTAATGTTTGGGGTTTTTTAGATTTAAGAAAATTTTGGGATTTTTCAAAAAAAAATAATTTTTAAGTTTTTTTATTATAAATAAAAAATTCAAGATTATGTAAATGTGACATGTTTGTGACGTTAAACACTTAGATTAACCAAAAACTAATTTATGCACCTAAATGAGAAAATTGTATAATTTTAACATTTATTTTTATATTAATCCTTAATATTATAACCTCTTTTCTAACTCCACACTACTACCTCGTGTTCTCAAGTTATATTTTTATAATCTCTTTTCTAACACATGATTTTATGCTAAATGACGAACTTATAAAATTTTAGGGGTAAAAATATATTATGAATAGAAAATACACAGAAAAATTCTAAAAAAATATGAGAATTTCAAAACTTCAAAAGATAACTACCACCAACCGTCCAACCCTAATCCATCCATGTCTATTAATAAATTTATTTAACCATTGACAATGTACATACACTCTGAAAATGCAATAATTTGAATCTAAAATCTTAAGAGAAACTAACACTATTTTTAATCATTTAAATTTCGATGATTTCATATATAAAAACATTAAAATAATTAAATTCTAGATAATATACCCGCTACAAGTTACACTAAACCTGACAAAATAAGCTACCATATCATAATTATCATTGAAGTGTAGGGTGATTTAGATTTATTGCTTTTCTAATCATTGAATAGAATTATACAACTTTAATGCTTAGAATACAATTTTTGATTAAGGTGCCTCACAAGGCAATCAAAACAGGAATTATCTTTTTTTTTTCTTTTTTCTTTTGGGACAAAACTTAATAATAACGAAAGTATATAATAAAAGCATTCTTTTATAGTCATTAGCATAACAAATTAGCTATTTAAGATCGCATAAAGACCATGTAATTAAATTATTTAACATATCTTTATATTTTATAATTAAATTTATATATATAATTAACTTTAATTAATTAATAACTTCAACTGAATGGGAATTAATGTCGTAACTAATTTACAACAACTCTATTTGTCAGGGATATCAATAATTTTGCATCCCCATGATAGCAGATGGACCACCAGTGGAATAAAAATCATTCTAGGATTGTTTTTATGCAGAAAATAGAAAAGGAAAAATCAAAACAATTTTACAAAAATTAGAATTTTGACAACATAGTTTACGTCGATTTTACCGAAATATCATCCGTGCAGGTAATAATTACCTATCATACATTTTTTTAATATATTTATCTGAAAAATTAATTTCAATTTAATTTAATCCGATAATATTTTTTATACTGATTTTGTCGCATTTTTTCACCAACATCAAATTTTGCTTTCATTTTCTCACTAACCAAATAAAATTATCAACATTCAAAAATTAACTCAAACCTAATATTTTGACTTCAAATATTAGTTACGTATATATTATAGGGTAAAGTATACTACAAGTTATTATACTAAGCTCAAACAATTATTTTGGTCACAAAATTTTTAAACGTTATAAAATAGAAATTAAATTATCAAATTGCTATAAAATGATTATAAAATTTTGTTAAACTATTACAAAACACTTATTCAATTTTATCAAACTATTTCAAAATATCATTAAATTTATTAAAAAGTTACAATTATTATAGCATTATAATGATCACTTTGTAACACATTGATAGATTTAATGATCATTTTACAATTCTTATAATGTTATGATAATTATTTTATAATAATTTAATAAATTTAATGATTATATTATAATTTCTGAAAATGTAATGACCAAAATAATTATTTGAGCATAATTTGATAAACTTTAATATATTTTATTTAATATTATAAAAATATATATCATGATATTTCATAATTATACGGAGACCAAAACACATCGATATTAGATTTTTTACCCATCCTTATTAATGTTCAATCAATTTGAACCAATATTTTTAATATTAATTTTAGATTTTATTTTGATAAAATAATTTTATTTTTATGATTTTTTGAAATTATTGAGTGAAATTTTCGAAATCCTATTAATAAATATTCAAAAAGTGACTATGTTTTAAGTAAATAAAAATAATTAATAATTCTTATGTATTATTTTAAAAAATCATTATTTAAAATAAAATTTAATGCGATCTTCTATAACTTTTAAGTTTATACATCATAAATCATATTAATATTAATAATATCTCAAATGATGATGTTTAATTAATCGAATTTTTTTAGTTATTAATAATACACATACATCTTATAAATACAACTATTCGAGTATATGAGATCTCTAAAGAAAAAGATACTTTCTGTTATCACTAAGATGGCTAAATGAAAAGAAAAAAAATGTGTATTTAAATTTAAAAAATTGGCAAACTCTTATTTGAAGAGAGAAACCGAGAATCATTTGAAGGAAACGGTAAAATAGGGAGGAGCAACCAAGACAAAAGGGACAGTTGAGCCAGTTTAACTACGAAAATGTGTCAAACAAGATAGTGAGCTTTCACATGGCAGATCCAAATGAAGTCTTTCCCACTTAAATTCTTGTCCTAAAGCATCAGTAATTCGCCCAGAATCTCCAACATCTCCTCCCAACAAAAACCCGACTTTCTATTTGACCCTGATCTTCATTCCCTTACAAGCTGCAAACTTTCTTTATCAGAAACCATAAAAACAATCGACAATTTTCGTGAAGCAAAAAACACCAACATGTTAAGACTCCTTCTTTCGCTATCTTCAATAGCTTTCATGTTCATTCTCTTACTTGTCATCTTCTTTTGCCGAAAGAGGGCAGCGAGAGATGACCAGCTGGGCGACATAGAAAGCAAAGAGCAGAAACATGATGGAGATGAGTCAGAAATGGAAGATATCATCACTTTCAGCGGCGGAGAAGACCTCACCATTTGTGACATTCTCGATGCTCTTGGTGAAGTGATCGGGAAGTCCAGCTATGGGACCTTATATAAGGCCTTGTTCCAGAGGAGCAGCACGGTCAGATTGCTTCGGTTCTTGAGGCCCCTGTGTGCCTTGAAAGGTGAAGAATTCTTCGATGTGGTTCGGCTGTTGGGGTGCATTAGACATCCCAATTTGGTGCCTCTGTTGGGATTTTATGCCGGGCCTAGAGGAGAGAAGCTTCTTGTTCATCCTTTTTATTGGCAAGGCAATTTGGCTCAGTTAATCAAAGGTAAGTTTTTTTTTTCTATTTCATGTTCATCTTATTATACATTGATAAATTGTTTGTCAAATTGTCAATCTTCTCTCTGCTGCATAATTTGATCTGTCGGCACCTACCTCTGTCCTTTTCATGTTCATCCTGTTTATGTTTGACGAGTTTGAATGTTTAAGATTTTGAAGTTGGACTGTTTGTTTGAGCAGATGGTAATGGGGAGTCTCGTAGATGGGCAGTAATTTACCAGATTTCCATTGGCATGGCTATGGGATTAGATCATCTACATACAGGGTTGCAAAAGCCAATTGTCCATGGAAATCTCAAGTCTAAGAACGTGCTTTTGGATCGAAATTACCAGCCGTATCTTTCCGATTTCGGTATATACTTACTCTTGAATTCTACTTCTGGTCAAGAAATACTTGAAGCTTCAGCAGCGGAGGGCCATAAAGCTCATGAGCTCATCAAAATGAGGGATGCAAGTCCGGAGACTGATATATACAGTCTCGGGGTGATCTTTCTCGAACTACTTTCGAGGAAGGAACCTATAAACGAAAAGCTGACACCGGATGAGGATTTTTATCTGCCAAACTTCATGCGGAATGCAGTTCTTGATCATAGAATCAGTGATCTGTACCATCCTGACCTACTTCTGAGTAACAATTATGATAAGGGAAATCCAGTTTCTGAAGAATCCATTCTTAAGTTCTTTCAGCTTGCCATGGCTTGTTGTTCTCCTTCTCCTTCTCTTAGACCGAATATCAGACAAGTACTCGTGAAGCTCGAAGAAATCGGCAAGTAGGAACCAGTGCATTTTGCAGAAGCACGGGGTCCGAGTTTCTAAATTTACATTCTGTTAATCACCTTTGATGGCCGGAGTAATAATGCTAACAAGGATGATAATTGGTAATCCCGGAAATCAACAGTGATCATCTTTCAAGCATCCGACGAGGATCATAGAATTCCTGCTTGGTTTGTTGGAAAACCAGATTTCCTTTTCATCAAATCATCTCCATGACGAAATAAGATCCGATTCAGAGACACGAAGGCCACATAATGCAAAAGATGTTTCAGCTTGTCGAAGTGCTGCTAAGACCAAGTGAATACCGGAATAAAGCTAGGCTATGCTTATTAGCTGCTATAGGTGATTTCTGGTCATTCTTTGAGTACCATTGCACAACAAGTGCCGCAGACACCGGTAATGAACATCATCTCCCACGGCCACTTAAGTATATATTATCTTGGAGTTTTCTGGAAAGAGAAATGTGTTTCTTTTAAGTTCTAATCTATCAATTTAATATCAACATTTTCTTCACTCTGAATTTCATACAACAGCTGGTGAGACTGATTTGAAGTTTGCATTTTGTTTTATTCGCTAGTCAAAAAAGATTATCAAATCCGGAATTAAAATCACATAAAATCTGCCCTGAAATCCAGGAGGCTGGTAATTGAAAGCTTGCTAAAGCCTAAAACTTCGAACAATGTCTAATATTGTAATGTAGGGATAAACAACGTCACATTTGAATGTTGGTGCAACCAGGAGCAAAATCATGGAGCAATGTGGATGTTTTGTCTTTGAAACTGTAGGCAATAGCTCTGATACGTGCACCACGATAAACGACAAAGACAACGGCTCTTGTTAGCTTTCTTCATGAACAACTGCTAGTACTCTAAACGCTTGATAATCCCGATCTGATACTTCGCAAACCACCAGGAAAAGTCATTTTTCATCTCCTACGCATTAAACTGCGCCTGGTGCTATGCTTGGAGGTTTTTAAGATGAGATGCAGTCGACCTCAATGTTCCCCAAAGTATCTGCACTTTGGCTGTCGGTCCCAATGGAATATTAGGCATTGGAATCTCCTAATGTCTCTTGATGAACATTGAAAAATAACAAAGATCTGGAGTTGCTCATGATCAAATGGATAGCACCACAGCAATAGACACCCTAAGGCCCTGACTGAAATTACCTTGGGATATCATTAGAGAAACTCCAAAAATGAGTTTCAGATGAGTATATCTGCAACTGATAAAGATGAGAAGATGTCTCCGAAATTATAACGAAAACAACTTTGTAATGTACCGATTTCAAGGGATCAAAATAGCACCAAAAATAGTGTTTGGGCTTGGAGTTGTTACCTGGCTTGGTATGTATTGGTTGGTCGTAGGATTGTAAATGTAGTACTTTGAGTTGTATTCTCCGATACAGTTGTTGCTACAGCACAATAACCAGCCATTGCAGGATTGCAAATTCCTAATGCCTGCATCGTCATCAATGAAAGTGAATGATCTATCCGCGAACCGGATTTGTATATAGAGAAAGGTAATGTACTTGGGCTTGTTTCACGCCCACAAGAAGATGATAGCCTCCGGATTGTAAAGTCAACAATGTGCGGCTGAGGAGGGGGCACCGAATTCTACCGAATTCGGCGCAATAAATGTTATTTGAATTTTTAAAATGGGTTTATTACACTTTAGTTATCGTACTTTAGGGTATTTTCAAAGATTAGTCCCTAAGCTTCAACTATAAATACCCTAACCCATTTAGCTTCAAAATCATCCCAAAAATCATTTATTTCTCCCAATACTAGAGAGCTTTCTTGTGAGTAGTGAGTGTTTTGTAAACACCTGTAAATTTTCTCTCTTAGTAAAAGATCTGCAGCAGTCCGGAGACGTAAGCAAATTGGTTGAACTCCGTTATCAATTTCGGGTATTATTTTTCCGCTTTTATTTTGCATTCTCACTAATCTGGTTATAGGGAAATTACTTGTTCTCGGTTTATTTCCCAACAACTGGTAATCAAAGCTTTTGGTTGTGAATTTTGTCAATTTTTTTGCGAGGTTACTATTCATTACTATTCACGTGAATAGTGAATTTCGTGAATAGTAAAAATTTTGTCGGTGATACGAATTTGTCGACGGAGGTGTTTTAATACACGGTGGTTTGCAAAAATTGTCAAAAACGATCCAAACGAAGCCAGATTCGAGTGGGAGCGATGGCTGCAGACGAAGGGAAGGTGAAAATTGAAAAGTTCGATGGTGCGGACTTTGCTTTTGGAAGATGCAGATTGAAGATTTTTTGTACCAGAAAAATCTATATCAACCACTCTCAGGAAAGCAACCAGAGGGCATGAAAAATGAAGACTGGGCTCTTCTCGACAGACAAGCCCTCGGAGTTATCCGACTGACGTTATCCCGTAATGTTGCTTTCAACATAGCAAAGGAAAAAACTACGGCGGGTCTTATGGCGGCTCTCTCCAGTATGTATGAGAAGCCATCGGCCTCAAACAAAGTTCATTTGATGAGGCAATTGTTCAATTTGCGGATGGCGGAAGGGGCATCAGTGGCTCAACACTTGAATGAACTCAACACAATCACAACCCAGTTGAGTTCCGTGGAAATTGAATTTGATGATGAAGTTCGAGCTTTAATTCTCTTATCATCTCTACCAGACAGTTGGAATGCTACTGTTACAGCAGCTAGCAACTCGTCGGGAAATATCAAATTAAAATTCGACGATGTTCGGGATCTGGTATTGAGCGAAGAAATTCGACATAGAGAATCGGGTGAAGCATCAATCTCCTCAGCCTTGCACACGGAGTCCAGAGGGAGAAGTTCAGAAAGAAATTCAAATCGTGGCAGATCAAAATCCAGAAGGGGAAAATCAATAACGGGAAAGAAAGATTTTACCTGTTATAACTGCGGCAAGAAGGGTCACTTTAAAAGAGATTGCCGAGCACTGAAGAAAAATACCGGCGCACAGGATTCTGCTAACGTGACAGAGGAGACAGGTGATGCCATGATTCTAAGCGTCAATAGTCCGATTGAATCATAGATCTTGGATTTAGGGGCATCTTTCCACTCCACTCCATGCCAAGAAATCATGGAGAACTATGTCAGTGGTGATTTTGGGAAGGTTCATCTAGCTGATGATGAAGCCTTGAAGATTATCGGAAAATGAGACATCCGACTAAAGTTGCCAAACCATACCACTTGGAAGTTGAAAGGTGTGAGACATATTCCAGGCCTCAAAAGAAATTTGATTTCTGTTGGACAGCTTGATGGAGAAGGATATAGTACAACATTCTCAGGCTGTGAATGGAAGATTACCAAAGGAGCATTCGTCATTGCTCGTGGTAAGAAGATTGGTACTCTCTATGTAACCTCAAACTTAGAGAATATCATTACTGCAGCAGATGCTGATGGAAAATCAAACCTATGGCACCAAAGACTTGGTCATATGAGCGAGAAAGGGATGAAGACACTTTTGTCAAAAGGGAAACTGCCAGATCTAAAGAATGTAGATGTCGGACTATGCGAGGATTGCATCTTTGGCAAACAAAAGAAAGTCAGCTTTGCAAAGATTGGTAAGACACCCAAGGCTGAAAAGTTAGAGTTGGTTCAAACTAATGTATGGGGACCATCTCCAGTTCCATCTCTTGCAGGCTCATTATATTATGTCACCTTCATCGATGATTCTACAAGGAAGATGTGGGTTTATTTTCTGAATAAGAAATCAAAAGTCTTTGATATCTTCAAAAAATGGAAGGCCATGGTGGAAAATGAGACTGGTCTGAAAGTCAAGCGGTTGATGTCTGACAATGGAGGAGAGTACAGAAATAGGAGATTCAGATATTTCTGCGCAAACAATGGGATCAAGATGGAGACAACAGTTCCCATGACACCGTAGCATAATGGCGTAGCAGAGCGTATGAACAGAACTCTCAATGAACGTGCCAGAAGCATGGGGATACATGTCGGACTACCCAAATTTCTATGGGCTGAAGCTATCAACACTGCAGTTTACCTAATCAACCGTGGGCCCTCAGTTCCTTTGGATGGCAGAATACCAGAGGAAGTTTGGAGCAAGAAAGAAATAAACCTTTCACGCTTAAGAGTGTTTGGTTGTATTTCTTATGTACACATAGACTCTACTGAAAGAAGTAAACTTGATGCTAAGTCCAACAAATGTGCCTTTGTTGGTTATGACGGTGATGAGTTCGGTTACTGGTTTTGGGACTACGAAAATCGAAAGATCATCAGAAGCAGAGATGCCATTTTCAATGAGAATGTGATGTACAAAGACATGTCAACTGTAGAATCAAGTAGCTCCAATACCGAAGGTGAAACAAAAGAATTTGCTGAGTTCGAGGAGATTTCTAGAAATGATGTTCAGATCAATCCTAAAGCAGTTCAAGAAGAATCAGGTACACCAGAACTAAGATGCTCCTCTAGAATTCCTAAACCAACCCAACACAACGGTATTCTTCTTCTTTGCACTAGTTGTTGCTGACTGACAATGGTGAACCAGAGTGCTATGATGAAGCAATGCAAGTGGAGGATTCAGTCAAGTTGGAGTCTTCCATGAAAGATGAGATGGACTCGCTTAGGTCAAATCAGACATAGGAATTAGCTGAATTACCACCAAGCTAGAAAGCGCTCCACAACAAGTGGATTTACAGGATCAAAGAAGAGCATGATGGGAGCAAACGCTACAAAGCAAGATTGGTTGTCAAAGGTTTTCAGCAAAAGGAAGGTATTGACTACAATGAATTTTTCTCTCCAGTTGTAAAACTGTCTACAATCAGACTGGTGTTGAAAATTGTAGCTGCAGAAAATTTGCATCTTGAGCAATTAGATGTGAAGACAGTGTTCCTTCATGGTGATTCGGATGAAGAAATCTATATGAGGCAGCCAGAAGGCTTCATAGAGGCAGGCAAGAAAAACCTAGTATATAGGTTGAAGAAGAGATTGTATGATTTAAAACAAGCTCTTTAAAACAAGCTCTTAGACAGTGGTACAAGAAGTTTGATAACTTCATGAGTAGCAGTGGTTTTACCAGATGCCAAGCAGATCATTGTTGCTACATCAAGAGGTTCGATAACAGCTTCATTATTTTATTGTTGTATGTTGATTACATGCTCGTTGTAGGCTCAGACATACAAGAGATTATAAACTTGAAGCAAAAATTGTCGAAGCAGTTTGCTATGAAAGATCTGGGCGCTGCAAAGCAGATTCTTGGGATGAGGATCAAAAGAGACACAAAGTCGGGGACTTTTATGTTATCACAGGCTGAGTACATCAACAAAGAACTCTCTAGGTTCAACATGCAAGATGCTAAACCAGTAAGTACACCTTTAGGTGTTCATTTTAGACTCTCCAAAGAACAGTCACCAAAGACGGAGGAAGAATATGCACATATGGTGAAGGTGCCGTATGCTTCAGCAATTGGAAGTCTGATGTATGCATTGTTTGTACCAGACCAGATATTGCTCATGCAGTGGGAGCTGTTAGCAGGTACATGAATAATCCAGGCAATGTACACTGGGAAGCAGTCAAATGGATCCTCAGATATATGCGAGGTACCACAAACAAAGCACTTTGTTTCAAAGGTGGAGATACGATATTAACAGGATATGTAGATGCTGACTTAGCCAGAAATGTTGACATCAAAAGAAGCACTACGGGGTATGTCTATACTCTAGGAGGTATTACAGTGAGTTGGGTTTCTCAACTACAGAAGATAGTTGCTCTCTCCACAACTGAAGCAGAATATGTCGCTGTTATGGAAGCCAACAAGGAGATGGTTTGGCTCCAAAGTTTCTTGGAAGAGTTAGGCAAAAAACAATAAAATAATGTCTTGTATTGCGACAGTCAAAGTGCTATCCATCTAGCAAATAATTCGTCTTTTCATTCCAGGATGAAGCATATAAAATTGCGATATTATTTTATCCGGTCTCTTCTGGAAGATGGGATTTTGAAACTTGAAAAGATTAGTGGAGCTCAAAATCCAGCAGACATGTTGACAAAGACGGTGATCACGTACAAACTGAAGTTGTGTTCAGCTTCAGTTGGCATGCTAGAGTAACAAGACCAGAAATACTGCTGCATCGATCGAGGTGTGAAGACAGATTAAAATCAGTCTTCAAGTGGGATATTGTAAAGTCAACAATGTGCGGTTGAGGAGGGGGCGCCAAATTCCACCGAATTCGGTGCAATAAATGTTGTTTGAATTTTTAAAATGGGTTTATTACACTTTAGTCATTGCACTTTAGGTTATTTTCAAAGATTAGTCCCTAAGCTTCAACTATAAATACCCTAACCCATTTAGCTTCAAAATCATCTCAAAAATCATTTCTTTCTCCCAATACTAGAGAGCTTTCTTGTGAGTAGTGAGTGTTTTGTAAACACCTGTAAATTTTCTCTCTTAGTAAAAGATCGCAGCAGTCCGGAGACGTAAGCAAATTGACTGAACTCCGTTATCAATTTCGGGTATTATTTTTCCGCTTTTATTTCGCATTCTCACTAATCTGGTTATAGGGAAATTACTTGTTCTCGGTTTATTTCCCAACACTGATTCCCCGAGATAACGGTACAGCCTTACATCTTTGTCAACAACGGAGGGCATCGAGATATCTCTCTTTTACTCTTCTTCAACGTCAAAACACAGTGAAGATCCCCGGTCACTAGGCCACTGAATGGCACCATTCCAGAAAACACCATTCTTGAATCGCACGTTACTTGGTGCTACAAATGGACGACTTGAAGGCCTGCAGGGGCCAGTTTCCGACGAGTAAATCTCCAACCGGTAATGATCCAGTAAATCAGGGTCGGAATTCGTAATGCAAGTTACTTTGTAATGAGGTGACTTCGAAGGATCAAAAGCTAAACTGACACCAAAAGCGTTGTTCCTCGAAGAACCAAGTGTTGGAAGTACATTGCAATGCTTTGTAGTAGTTAGATTGTATATGTAATAGGTTGTCTCGAGACGATTAGCACGAAAGCTACAGAACAGCAACTAGCCATTACAAGATTGTAAGATTTCAGTGATAGAGACTCCTTAACACAGAGAGCAATATATCTTCATTTGGTCTTTATCTAATAAAAGACTAAAAAGATTATAGAATAAAAAATCTTAATATTAACTTAAATTTGTGGAGTTTAAAAGTATTTTTAGTTAAACCAATATTTGATTAAGTTTATGAGAATAAAGTAAATTTGATGAAAATTTTTGTACTCGTTAGAAGTTGACGATGATGATAATCGGAACAAAGACGACGAGTGTAATTATTAAGATTTAAGTTTATTTGAATAGGAAAAAAATAACGACGAAAAGAAAGAGAAAAATAAAGAGATATTTTAAATTTTAATGGGAATCCAAATTTGATGAATTTTGTAGAAATTTAAAATAAGGTAAATTACATGTTTGATAATTAAATTTTACTCTATCTTTTTTTCACTCATTATACTTTTAATTTTTTTAATTTACTCATTAAATTTTATAAATTGAATTTTTTATCACTTATCGTTTTCACTAAAATTTATAGATTGATTTTTTTTATCCCTTAACCGTTTTCAGTCAAATAGACAGTTAGATGATGTGAAATAATTTAATATTAAACAGGCCACGTCATATTGATATTAAATAAAAATATTAGTATTTAATACCAAACAAGATTTCAAAATATAAAATTAAATAAATTAAAATCACTAAACCCTAATCGCAAATTTCAACCCCAATCCCAGCCCCCAAACCTTCACTTTAATCAACAAGAACAGAAACGCAACAACACATGAAATGGCGTCGGCTGGTCGTGAAAGCTCGTCCGATCAGTTTTGGGTCGAGAATGCACCAGAATCAGCGCTCTAAGCGACGGATTGTGATGGATCCATGGATCGCAATCATCTTGTCTTGTAAAATAAAGTTCTGCACGTGTTCAATCCATTAAAAAAGACAAAATTCAAAGCTGTTTTGATTTTTGAAAACTAATTCAAACCTACATGAAACATTGTTCTTCCTCGGCATTGGGTTGTGGCCTTATCTGTCCCCACAAATGTTGTCACTGACTGGCTTTGAGATGTATATGCAACACCAGTAAGTGTCTCATTCTGCCATTCATGAATCAAAATTACACCAGTATCGAGTTTTGGGGTTTAGGAATGGGGATAGGGGGATGGTCAGGGTGGTGGGGTTAAGTATTTGGGAGAGGAAGATAGTGAGGGATTGTTAAGGGGAGAGGAAGAAAAAAGTCTTTGGCTCATCGGCCTCCGACAACGGTGACCGGAAGTTGCCAGAACGGCAACTAACACATGGTCGGATTTTAGATCGACTTTTATATAGAGAGGGGAGAGAGAAAATAGAGAAATAAGAAGAATAATAAAGATGAAATGAGAAAATAAATTATTAAAATGACGTGTTTTGAATTAAATTTAATTTTATATAAAAATTTAAAATTATATTATTTTAGGGTAAATTATTATGTCATAGTATTATTAAAAAGTTAACGATTGAATATTAAAAAATTAATTTATAAAATTCAATGAATAAATTAAAAATTATAAATAAAATAAGTGAAATAAGAAAAAGTAAAATTTCAGTTATCAATTTATAATTTACCCTTCAAAATAAGGTCATTTTGGGGATTTATCAAACCTGGTTGATGATCTAACTTTCGAATAATTAGAACATGAGTAATGTTAAAGTTGAGGGATAAAATTAAAATTTTAATTTTTCAGTAGTCAAAATAGGAGTAAGATTATAGATCAGTGATACAAATCTGTAATTTACCTGAAATATATTTTGTCGTGATGTTTGTGTTCGTTTGCTGGAAGAAAAGTGAAAACAGAGGCATCTACTTCAAAATTTAAACCCTTCCTGACTGAAATCTCCCGTCATTCTAGGATGGAAAACTCATCGATGTTTGGATTTCATCTTCATTGAATTTCATTCTTTTTAAATCTGGGAAAAAGTTTTCTTTTCCTTACATCGTCTCTTTCCATTTTTATGTAAAAGAGTATAAAAATGGAGTTCACGGAAGCTTATAAACACACAGGTCCTTGCTGTTTTTCACCGAATGCTCGTTACATAGCGTCCGCTGTCGATTATCGTCTTGTGATTCGTGATACACTATCCTTTAAGGTATAGTATTTTTTTTACTTGCTTTGCTTCTAATTTCCAATTCATTTGCCCTCTTTCGGATGAAATGCGAGGAAGTACAGAAATGACATGTGAAAGTGCATTTTTCTTTTCTTTTTTTCCGCTTTCCATTTGGGTTTGTTTTTATTTGGCTTTTTAATGAATTGTTTGCCAGATTCAAATTTTACATGTGTAGATCAACCTCATTTTAGTTTCTAGATCTCCTTGTTCTTAGTTAGACAACATTTAATTAGATTTGCTTAGTAATTTTTCCTATTTGCTTTGTATTGTTTCACTCTTTAGGCCAAGCTAATGGATTTGTTTTGCTCTGTTTCTCTGGGTCATTTAGAATTGTGAAGTGTTTAATGTGTACTGTGACATGACAAACTATTTTGAGTAATATTTTATCTTTTAGCATTAGAACACTTCCTCTCAATTGAAAACTCTAGCAAATTGATCTTCTGTATTTGAGCTCATATCTTTGATATACGAACATATTGAATCATTTGAATATGGATGCAAAGGTCATTTTTGAGGTTCAAGGCATGCATTTCTTGTGTTTCTAAATGGTAATGCTTATTTTCTATTCGAATTGATGCAGGTTGTGCAGTTGTTTTCTTGCTTGGATAAGATAAGTTATATTGAATGGGCACTTGATTCTGAGTACATTCTTTGTGGTCTCCATAAAAGACCTATGATACAGGCGTGGTCACTCACCCATCCCGAATGGACATGCAAAATAGATGAAGGTCCTGCTGGTATTGCTTATGCAAGATGGAGCCCAGATAGTCGTCACATACTGACCACCTCGGAGTTACAGCTGCGATTAACGGTTTGGTCCTTAGTGAACACAGCCTGTGTTCATGTACAATGGCCGAAGCATGCTTCTAAAGGAGCTTCATTTACCAAAGATGGAAAGTTTGCAGTTATATGCACAAGACGGGATTGTAAGGACTATATAAATCTGTTGTCCTGTCACAATTGGGAGATAATGGGTGTTTTTGCTGTTGACACATTGGATATGACTGATATTCAGTGGTCGCCGGATGACAGTGCTATAGTGATCTGGGATTCGCCTCTTGAGTACAAAGTATGTGAACTTCTGTTTTCCATTGTCTGTCATCCAATGACCACTTTTAGTTCCTTGTTGTGATATCAAATTTACATTTGGAATAACTCTTCTCTTTTTGTTTATAAACATTAGGTATCATGATAATTATAAGGATCTTATTAAATTTTAACGTCTTAAAAGCCTTTGTTTTTTCTTTTACCTGATTGATCTGCTTCATGCCTAGCACACTATGAGCCAAGGGTGCTAAACTTTGCAAGCTAAGATAAAATGTAAGATAGACTAGAGCTTTTTCTATGTTGTTGTTGTTGTTTGTGTGTTTTCCCCTATCCTGGTGTAAATGGTATCTTGTGGAAGATATATCCAAATAACAATTACCTGGCCCTGAAAATTGTGTTTCTAATTAACCGTCTATTATCACATAGTTATTTTTATGGTTTTACAAACGTAAAAGCATGCATTTTATTTTGTGTGCCAATAATTTTCTCTGTTGAACTGATATAACTGGAAATATTAAAGTTTCCGATTCTCTTATTTAATTTGATACAGGTTCTAATATATTCTCCAGATGGAAGGTGCCTCTTCAAGTATCAAGCATATGAAAGTGGATTGGGAGTTAAAAGTGGTTCATGGTCTCCCTGTGGCCAGTTTCTTGCCGTGGGTAGTTATGATCAGATGCTGCGAGTTCTAAATCACCTTACTTGGAAAACTTTTGCAGAGTTTATGCATCTATCAACTGTTCGTGCTCCTTGTTCTGCTGCTGTTTTCAAGGTAAGCTGTTTTCCTTGTTACTATGATTCAATTTGTGAGAAGCATCTATTAAATTTGTTTCTTATAATGGCAGGAGGTGGATGAGCCATTGCAACTTGATATGTCTGAATTATGTTTGGACGATGATTTTTTGGGATGCTCTGGTAAGGATAATGAAATTCTATATCTCTGATTGTTGACTTTCTTTAATTTGATTTAATGCTTGATACTAGACCTTGTTGTGAAATTGTACTCAACTGTCTAGGACCCGAGTGCTTTGTGCTTTTTTATACAATTTCTTGAGTTTAAATGTTTTCCCTGCATGGCTTTCCCTTCATTATTCAGTATATGAATTGCAGCCTTTCAGTTATTTAATTCAGTTCATATGCCCCATTAGCAGATGCTCCAGAAGGACACTTCAAGGTTCGATATGAGGTTATGGAAGTACCCATTACTTTGCCTTTCCAGAAGCCTCCTGCAGACAAACCTAACCCTAAACAAGGAATTGGTAAGTCTTACCAAACTGATGTAGATTGACTAAAAGTTCTATGCTTTTCATACTGTATATTCAAGTGACACAAAATCCAAGTACAAAGAATTGATAATGCTTTTTACTTCTAATATTAACACAACTCTCTTGCAGTAAATTTCATTTTTATCCGAAAAATATTATTGACGTTGGAAACAATCAATATCCTTTCTACATTACCCTACTATTATAGCGATCAGCCTGTAGCCTGTAGCCTGTAGCATGTAACTTAAAACCAATCTCTAATGAGTGGCAAGACCATACTAAACCTAACGCATAATAAGTATGGGATAAGACCACTTAACACTCCACCTCATTTGTAACTCGGCAGGGGTCTACACATAGACAATCTCGCATGGAGTTAGGCAGGAAGAACATAACACATTGGATTTGTTATCATGTAAAGCAGCTAACCTAAAAGCCAATTGACTATAGGTGGAGAGGTCCAACTTGATACAAGACCACCACTTAACTGTGTCAGTTGCCAATTATCATTGCCAATGCCATATTAGGACGTTAGAAAAGGTATTCTTATTGGATATGATGATTTGGTTTCGAGTTATTTTTCTAGGGATCAGTAATGCGTAGAGGACACTTGGTAGTTAAGGCTTCACTAAGGTGCTTATTAGAATGAGTTGATCGAATTAACTTTGATTTTCCTCCCTTTAATGCTGTTACTAACCAAACTAATTTTATTCCAGGTCTTCTTTCATGGAGCAATGACAGCCAATATATCTGTACTCGCAACGATAGCATGCCGACTGCACTCTGGATTTGGGACATACGCCATTTGGAATTAGCTGCCATCTTGGTGCAAAAGGATCCTATTCGTGCTGCAGGTTGGGATCCGATATGCACTCGCCTTGTTCTATGCACCGGCAGCTCTCATTTGTATATGTGGACCCCTTCTGGTGCATACTGTGTAAATAATCCACTACCACGGTTTTCCATAACTGATTTGAAATGGAATTCAGATGGGAGCTGTCTACTTCTCAAAGACAAGGACTCATTCTGCTGTGCTGCTGTGCCGCTACTGCCAGAATCTAGTGACTATAGCTCGGATGAGTGAAGCAGATTTCTCTTTTAATTTGTTTGCTTGCTGCTATCTAGAGGAACAGAAACATAAATAGGCATCCTTAGTTTTAAATCGATCCCCTCCCCCTCTCTCACTGTTGTACTATGTTGTGTATCTGAGACATCAATGACAGAGTTATCGAGCTATGAAAATGTCCGTATTATGTCGTTCTTTTCCCACTATGTTCGCGGTCACCAAGGTTAAGTACTAGGCATTTTGGTAAAGATAGTTACATCAGTTGAAGCAGAGATATTTATGTGTTGAGATTGTTGAGTATATTCCGCCGTTTTCATTCTTAACTTCCTATTGCTGCTTAGTTTTAGGTGTTCCTTTTTTAGCACAGGAAGTTGTTAGTTTAACCTCTTGGAGAGGTGGGAGATATTAATCTCAAATTAAAAAGAAAGTGAGGTTTTGAAGTTCATAAGCGGTACCGTCACATGCACAAAAAATTCGAATATTCGATTTTGTACAAAAAATATCCGAAACCGGATTTGAGAAAAATCGGTTTTTTTTAAACCGGATCGGATATTTTAAAACCGGATAGTATAACCGGTTTGAGAAAAAATTGTACGATCAGATTTTTTACAGGATTAAAAATCGGTTTGAGAAAAAATTGGACGATCGGATTTTTTACAGGATTAAAAACCGGTTTGAAAAAAATTGGATAAAAAATCAATTTTTTATCTGGAAAAAAATCCGGTCTGGGGTTTAAAAAATTGGATGACCGGATTTTTTACCAGATTCCAAACCGGTTATGATCCGAACCGGTTTTTTTATAAATCAATTTTTTAACTTAGTGAAAAAACCAGATCGGTTTTTATCCAATCCAGATCGGATTTAAATCCGATTATATGCATCTCTACCGTCACACCTCTTATCATACATCTTTTAGAAAGATCATAACCTCGTGACAAGTGATATCAGATTGATCTTTTAGTTGTCTGTTCCCCCGATAATTTATGCATCTACCGGTATAATTTTGGTCTTATCGATTCGTGCTATAAAAAGAACAGCACACTAGAAATTAAAAAGGATAGGAGCCAGCCAAGACAGGCCAAGGCTTGACATTAATGTTTAGTTATAGGGACAATGGGTTTAGTTCTATGGATAATAATAACATGGACAAAATGACAATAAATTAGGTCAAATAACTGTTGAATGTCTTCTTCTCACTTGTTAGATGCTAAGGGGTTAGCAGGGCTTGGAACAATATTACGGAAATAATACGCAAAACAACGTTATTTATTTTAATAGTTTCTAAATAACATTATTAACTAAAATAATTATTTTATAAAAGTGCGTCACATGCGAAGTATTTTTCAAAAAATATATACTGTAAGATCGTCTTTGTCGATGTTGATAGATTTTTCAAGTGATGGCGTCATTAAAAAATACAAACATGAATATATAGAACGACGACGATAATATGTGTATAGAATATTTTCGATCAGTTAATAAATATATGTTCAGAATATTATATTTAACGATTTAAATAAAACACAACAATGTGATATTTGAATATCATGTCAAAAATTTATTAATTTTGAAATATTAAAAATATTTTTTAAATTTAATCGGACTCGTTTTATACAATAATAAAAAACCAAATTTAAATACTGAAATATCGAATATTTTATAAGACAACTAAACATGCACTTATTATAAACTAATATAACGACAAAACGATAACGAAAGCTTTAATTAAATTAATATTTTATTACAATTTTTAAGTAAACAGGTCATCAAAATAAAGAAGAATAACGTTCATTTTAACTTGAAATAAATTTATTTTCTTTTATTTTCATAGCTCCAAGCCTCCAACTGATTCTCACTTCTCTCAGCTGTTTTTTTTTTCTCGCGTTTTCTCTCTCTTTCTCAATTTTTTCTCGAAAATTTTCAAATGCGTGATTCTTTTGTGTGTTAGTATAATTACTCATTACCTGGCGTCGTTGGACGGAACTGTAATATATAATTTAGATTAAGTAACGATGCGAAACGGCGTCGCGATGAGTTTGCACATCGGAGTCGGTGAATGGAAGTCAAGATGTTTGCAGTTGTAAAAATTATGATTCTTTATCAGCTGATCATCTTGTTATCATGGTCCATGGAATTCTCGGCGGGTGCCTTTTCTTTCTTCTCTTTTTTTAATAATTTTCTGTTGAAGAATTTTGAGGTGTGTTTTTTTTTTAATTTGGATTTTGAATGCTTGAATTAGTTTATTGGTAGCTTTACTTTGTATTACGATGAATTACTTCTTCGTTGTAATCTGTTTTTTTGGAGTGAATTTTGCGGAACTTATTAGTTGTACTTGCATCATGATTATACACATTTTATGATTGGTTTGAATGTAATCGGTTTAACCGGAAGTGATTAAACTTAAAATTTTGAGATTAACTCGACAAATGTTGAATCTGAATTCAAATTGTCTGGTTTTGACTTTTTGCTTATGGCACCAATATCTGTGTTTTTAATTCTGTGGTGTTAAATTGTGTTAAGTTCTATATGAGATTTTTTTAGGATTAATATGATTAAAAGTTCTCCTCAATTGGTTTCGGCCCTGATTTTATGGTTGCTTGTGTAGTTCTTCGGATTGGAAGTTTGGAGCTGAACAGTTTGTTAAAAGGCTACCATATAAAGCATTTGTCCATTGTAAGTAATTTTCTTAGGCACCTTTTTTTTAAGAGGAAAAAGGTTCCTTCTCTTTGTTTATATTAGATTGTTGGCATGATAATCCATTAATGAATCCATAGTGGTATCAATAACTGTTAATTTGATTTTATTCGTCACGCAGAACCCACACTTTCAACTAGGGCTGTAAAAAGATGACCCGACCTGCAAAACTGACTGAAACCGACCCGAGTCAAAATTGTTTTTTGACATGTACTGTGGTGATCTGAAACCGACTCGAGTCGGAACTGGTGTTGACCTGAACCCGATTTGAACCTGGAAATTGTGGATCCGAACTCGACCTGCATCCGACCTGAAAATGACCTGAACCCGAATGGAACCGAAAATATGATATCTGAACCCGAACTGCATCCAACTGATATGAACTCGAACCCGAGATTGACCTGGTAAATAACTGGTATTACCCGACCTGTTTTCAACCTGACTTGTTTTCAACTTGACCTGTTTTTAACTTGACCTGTTTTTAACCTGACCTGTAAATGATCCGACTTGTTAATGATCTGATCTGATATTTACCTGACTTATATATTACCATGAAAATCTTATAAATTATCAGTTTTTTAGCTTATGATGTAATTAAAATATTAATATGATTACTTTTTAAATGTTATAATAAAATATTTATTATGATACTTATATTAATAAATAGACCTATTATATAAAATTATTTAATAAAATTAATAAAATTAATTAAATATAAATTAGATAAAACATTATTAATAATGCAAAAGGAAAATTAATATAATTTAATTTATATAAATTATATATTTTAATTTATATAAAGAAAAAATAATATTAATAATAAAAGTATTTATTATGTAACATATATTAATCGTTTACATTAATAATATGAATAATTTTGGCAATAAAATAATAATTAAATTGATAATAACTTAATGTTAATATTAAACATGATTAATAATTAAATTGATAATAGCTGAATATTAATTAAATTATGAGCATCACACAACAATATTTACAATCACTAAATTAAATTTAAATATTGTCTTATTGAACATGATTTTATTAAATTATATTAATTAAGTTAAAATATTCATAAATCTAATTTACTTTTAATGTGAAAATTAATTAATAATTTAAGTATAACTTAACTTGAAATTTTAAAATAAAAATATATTAATTAAAATAATGAACTTATTAAATATTTGAAATTTGAATAACATTTCAAATACTAAAACAAAAAAAATTTATAAATGAAATTAATTTTATTATACTCAAAAACACTAAAATTACAATAAAATCAACTAAACAAAATAAATTTATGTTGAAATAAATGCTCTCAAAAATTTATGTTTAATTATAGGCAACTTTCTAGCTTTAAAAGTCAAAATGTCACCATCATATTCCACATGAATAACTATTTAGATAAATTTATAAGGTTCAAAACAATAATTTACAAGGCATCAATGAGTAATAGGCAGCAGCAACCGGCAAGCATCAATGTACCAATTCATCAAGCATTATTGCATCAATTCAACAAGCATCCTGCATTAAGAAAACATATAATCAGTGATAAAGCCAAAGGGAATTCGATGACCAACAGTGCCAAACATTTCCGACTTTACCAAACCCTTACAAATATCAAGTAGAAACAAACAATATCAAACAGAAGCAAACAATATAAAATAGAATAATGCAAAATCAAGCACCAAATATTGCTTCTTGTAAGGCACCCTACAAAAAAAATTATTAATGAACTATTTGAAACTTTTATTAAATAAACATAATAAATATTTGAAACTTTTATTAAATAAACATAATAAATATAAAATATTAAGTTACCTTTGAAGGGAATAAATAAGACATAATCTCCAATTTCAATAGTTTCAGGGACCATTAAACACCCTAAAAATTTAAAAGAAAAATTAAATTCTCTTTTCAAATAATAATGAAAAAATTATGGAAAAGGTGAGTTATCATTAAATAGTTTATGTAGGCAATAACATTTTATTTTCTTCTAATGCTTTATGCTATGAACAATTAAAATGTTACTTCTGTGCAATTGAGTTGAAGAATATGAAATGATTTTAGCTTACACTGCCCCACGATGCACATCACCATGGTTGCAATGACCCGAAACACCATAGCTATCAAATGTAATAATCTGAAAAATAATTGATGCACATAAAAAAACTAACAATACGTAGCTCCACAACATATTGCCAAAGCAAAGCTAAAAGATGCTCAAATAACAACAACAATAATAATAATAAAGGTTCAAGTTTCTTATTTCTAAATAATTGATCCCAGTGACTAAACTATATCATATAAGAATTGCAAATACCAGTGTACTTCCACATATTCATTTAAGACTACGACAAACAATATACAAGAAATCAAACAAGCTAAAAGATTAAGCATTTCACAGAATTGGTTTCATGCTAATTTGCCCGGACAGATTCATAATTTTACTATAAAGCAACAAACTTGGATTACTTGCCTTATAGGTTCTGGCACACGAAATTTGCATGTCATATTTACAATTAAAAAAATCCAAATTAACCAAGTTGCAGAGAGTCTTAAGTGTATCAGAAACATCCAGTTGGTTGCAACGTCAAGAACAGAAATCATTATTCTAAACTGGTGAAATAGTTTGAACCAATGTCCTTGGTTTCTCTTACAATTAAAAAAACTACTTTGGAACAAAAAATGGGTACCATATCCAAATATCTATTACTAATAATCAAACAAATCAAAATCAAGGGAAGAAACTTCAACGCCAAAAGAATTAAAGAGAGAATTTACTGAAGAATCTAACCTTACCAGAAAGTTAAAAAGATAAACGGATCTCCACCGCTCCTTTAGAAATAGCCAAAACAGGGAACAATAAAGAGATTATTAGTAACGAAAGAGAACAAACGTTGTTTGGAAGCAGAGAAAATCGGAGAGAGTGTGTGAGAATAGGGCGAGAGGGGGTTAAAATAACCGGGTGGACTTAGCAAGTGGCAAGAGAACAGAGAAGGGTAATCGTTGTCTTCAAATCCTCCAGAACCGAGTTCAACTGAGCCTGCAACTCAGATCCCTTACTGACCCGTGTTCGGCAACTTTTGGATGCTGAGTGGGGAAGAAGAGGCAAAACGAGGGAAACATAATTTTGGATGATGAGCGGGGAAGAATAGAGACCAAAACTAAAGGAGGGAGGGTTTGGTGGGAAGAGGCGGGAGAAAACTGCAACTCAGATCCCTTACTGACCGTGTTCGGCAACTTTTGGATGCTGAGTGGGGAAGAAGAGGCAAAACGAGGGAAACATAATTTTGGGATGATGAGCGGGGAAGAATAGAGACCAAAACTAAAGGAGGGAGGGTTTGGTGGGAAGAGGCGGGAGAAATGATATTTATAATAATATAATTATATAATATTGTATAATATGACTTATAAATATGTCTATAAAATTAATATTAATATAAACTATATGTTATAAATTATATTTAGTTTATAAACTATATACTATATTATATAAATTATAGTTAAGATAATTAACATTAATATAAACTATAGTTTATAAATTATATACAATAGGTTATAAAGTATAAACTATATAGTACACTAATATAAACTATTGCTTATAAACTATAGGTTACATATATAGTTTATATAACTTATAAATTGATTGTTTATAAATATATTATAGGTTATATATAAGTTTTATATATGCTATACATAGTTTATACATACATATACTATAAGTTACATATATAGTTTACATGTATACATATACTATAGGTTACACATATTAACTATTATTTATGTATAATGTTTAGGGTTTATGGTTTAAGATTTAAGGTTTGGTGTTTAGTTAGGGTTTAGGGTTTTTTTATATAATATATACTTTATTAATTTATATAGTTTATGCATATTGTTTCTATAAACTATATAAGTAATTTACTTTATATGATATATATATATATATATATTATATACTATACATACATACATGTACTATAAGTTATATATAGTTTACATTACATGTATACATATACTATATGTTACATATATAGTTTACATTGCATGTATACACATACTATAAGTTACATAAATTAACTATTGTTTATAGACTATAGGTTAATGTTTACATATAAAATTTTAATAATCTATTGTTTATATAAACTATATATGAATTATCAAATGTATTATATATAGTTATAATGCTTAGAATTTAGGGTTTATGTTTCAGGGTATAGGGTTTAAGATTTTTATAAACTATAATTTATTATTTTATATTTATGCATAGTGTTTTTTAATATATAAATATATATATATATATATATATATATATATATATATTCTATATATTATTATACAATATATATACTATATATTAAAATTAACATATAATTATATAGTTTATATAGTTTATACATATATAGTTTATATATATAGTTCACATAAACATAATTTATATATAGTTTATAATAATAATACAGTTTATAATATAAATATAGTTTATAATTTTATATACATAGTTTATATATATAGTGCACATAAATATAATATATATATATATATATAGTTTATAATAATTATATAGTTTATAATATAAATATAGTTTATATATAATTTTATATATATATTTATATTTTTTCAATTTTTTGAATGAATGCAAGTTATATTTTTCATTTATTTTGATTTAACCCTTTTGTGTTTTTAATTTATTTCAATTTTAAGTCTCTAACTTTTATATGTATTCAATTTAGTCATTAAATTTATATTTGCATATTCCATTGTTAGTTGTTATATATTTATATTTATATTTTTGTAACTGGCCCATAATTTTTTAAATGTGTTTAATTTTGTCCTTTTTTATATTAATTTAAACCTCACATTTTAAATTTATTTCGACTTAGTCCCTTACTTATGTGTGTTGTTTAATTTATATTTTAAGATTTTATTTGTAATTTTACATTCTTCGAATTTGTCATTAAATTTATTTTTTTTACAAATTGATCCATGAATTTTTTTTTCTCTTATTTTACTCGAAATCATATACAATTACAACTTCCAATTCAACAATCACGAAATATGACAAAATAATTAATCTAAAAAAATAAAAATGACCCGACCTGAACTCAATCTGTATCCGATAAACATCCGACCTGAATTTTATCTGTCAATGATGTAACCCGAACTGAACGAGATCCGACTGAAGTCAACCCGAACCTGAATTAACCTGGTCTTTATCTACTTCGGACCTGAATTGTTTTTACCTGAACTGACATCGATCCGAACTGAAAATTACCCGACCTGAACCCGATCTGGATATGGTGTCAAATCAACCTGAAAATAACCCGAACTGATTTGACCTGGCCTGAACCCGATCTGGATCTGGTGTCAAATCAACCTGAATTGACCTGTACCCGATTTTACCCGACCTGTCAAGATCCGACTGAAACCTGCCCGATTACCTGATTTTACAGCCCTACTTTCAACTTTGTATTTTTCGTAAGCTTTTAAGTATTGGACTTTTTGAGATCAGCAGTGAACGGAATATGTCTAAGCTGACTTTAGATGGTGTGGACATTATGGGTGAACGACTGGCGAAGGAGGTTAACGCATATTTCATAATGCCCTATTTTAGTCATCAAAATCGGTTAAATTTAACATTTAATAAAAAAACTATCAATTTCATATTATACTATGTTATCAAGAAAAATGTATGAATGCCAGGTCCTTGAGATTATTCAAGAAAAGCCAAATTTATGCAAAATCTCTTTTGTTGCACATTCGGTTGGAGGATTGGTAACTAGATATGCAATTGGGAGACTGTATAGACCACCTAAGGAAGAATTTAAAGAGGATACATCAAGTAACAGATGCAAGGAGGAAGCGAGGGGTACAATCGGTGGTTTGGAGGCTATGAACTTCATCACTGTTGCTTCTCCTCATCTTGGTTCAAGGGGTAATAAGCAGGTGGGTATTTTTTATTAACAAATTAATATGGATGTGATAGGCAAAAAAAAAAAAAAACAAAAACAAAAAACAACAACAACAACAAATTACTCTTCTCTCTTGTTCTCTCTCATGTGTTGGTTGGTATTGACATTCACTACGATTGATGTGTCGAAGGTGTTTATTCCAACGTTACTGACTTTTCCAAATGGTGATTTCATAATTTTTTTGTTGCTTCTGAAACAATGTTCCTTTAGTAGACGGATTTTGTTAATTGCAGAAGTTTATTTGTTGCAATGCAGCATGCTTTTGTTGTATTAGTTTTGCATGCCATGCAACATGTTATCTCTCATCAATGTTGGTATGTGAAGTATCAGCCATCATCAGGTTATCTTTGCTTATTGGTGTAGTAAAATATTTGTTTCCAGGTACCATTTCTTTTTGGGGTGACTGCTTTTGAGAAAGCTGCAAGTTGTGTTATTCATTGGATATTTAGGAGAACAGGTCGGCACCTTTTCCTTACTGATGATGATGAAGGAAAGCCACCGCTGCTTAAGCGGATGCTGGATGATTGTGATGAGTTTTATTTCATGTATGCAACTTTCTCCCTCGTCTAGATTTCTTTCTATATAAAACTACTTGAGTTTTTTGTTCTGGATCTGTAAAGTGACTGAAATAGTAGCGAATTTATCTATGCAGGTCTGCTTTACGTATATTCAAACGCCGGGTTTTGTATTCCAATGTGGCCCACGACCGTATCCTATTTACATTTTCTTTGCGACTTTAATTTCAACCTTTCCTGTTTTTTGTTAATTTCATTTTATTTGTCTCTCTTAACGAAATATTATAAAGATATTGTGGGCTGGAGAACCTCGTCAATAAGACGGAATAGTGAACTGCCAAAGGAATAATCTTTGTGAAGTTTTGCATTTGACTTCACGTCAACTATTCTTTTGGGTTGAAGTTGATGCGCAAAAACCTGTCTTGTTATTAGTGGGAGGAATCTCAAAATGAAACATATCCACATATTGTAACCGAAGAACACTGCAAGGCATGCAACAATGATCAGTATGAAACTATTTCAGCGGAGGATTATGGGTCATCTGACAAGCTAGAAGGTATATGAACTTAAGAAAGTAGAAACTCTGCTTTCCCTAAATATTTGTTTTGCATCTTTTGACTGTATTGTTCTATGTTTCTCATTCTTACAATTCCATTAATTAGATACTGTTGTGCAGAGGAACTGATAAGAGGCCTAACCCGAGTTTCGTGGGAAAAAATAGATGTTAATTTTCACAGAAGTAAACAGAGATTTGCTGCTCATAGTGTCATACAGGTCTCACTCTGTCTCTCTGGATCATATAAACTGTCAAAAAGCATTTCTTTTGAAGGGGCATGTTCCCATTTCTGTGTATTTTTGCAGGTTAAAGATCAAGTATTGCATATAGAAGGTGCAGATGTCATCCAACATATGATAGATAAGTTTCTTACATGAAACCATCATTCTTTGAAATACATATCGTATGTGTAGATGCAATGTTCTTTTCACCACTGAGCTCCCCGTATTTGTCGACTGTTAAGCTATCAATCGATATCTCATTGCCGGTTGAATGGATCGTTACTCACTGGTTGCTATCTATGACAACTATGATTAGTTCAGCAATCATTAAGAAACTTTTCTCATTCATTGATAATCATTAGTTTGCTTGATTAGTCGATTAATCTCATTTTTTAGTTATAAATTTTGTTATATAAGTACTTAGTAAGGTTGCAAATCAAATTTGTTTGACCATATAATTGACTAATATTCATTGATGAAAGGTTTTTACCAATAAATTTGTATTACTTTATGGTTGAATGTAACTATTCAAATGCTTCTTGATTAAATGATCTCACTTAGTTTGACAATATTATAAAAATGATTAATTTGATATTTTTTTAAGATATAAAGAGTTAAATTTATTAAATTGTTTTAAATTAATACGAACTTGATATAATTTATAAGTTTTGGAGACTAAAATTATTATCATATGGCTGCATTAGATTTATGTTTTAGTTTTAATGACGGAATGATATGTTTGTAATAATATTTTAGTTGAGTGATTAAATTATAATTTTTATAAAAGTTATCAGTACATGTTTGTAACTAAATTAATAATTCTATTAAAAAAACTAAACTAATAATTTAATAACCGAGGATGTAGTTTACCCTATTCCTTAGCTTACATAACATCAAGCGTAGAATACCCAAACCATGGAGGTAGGGATAAAGGAGATAATAAAGGGACACTGAATATTTCATCTATATCTCCGTTATCCTCAAACCCTGTCCTATTCGACGTTGTTACACTTTCCGGCACCGCCTCCTTGGGGGTCTCCGCCATAAACTCGTTCCTTTTCACTACTTTACACTCCGAGTTCACTCTCTTTTCTTCTTCATCATCCTCTTCGCTTCTCCTTTTCCTTGAAAACGAATTATCTTTTGATAACGAGGAATTTGGTTTCACAGCTTCAAGAGGGAAATTCAATATGGCTTTGCTCCCACGTAGCTTAAACGAAGCTCGATCGTACGCTTTAGCTGCTTCAATGGCGGTATCAAAGGTTCCGAGCCAAACCCGGGCGCCTTTCTTGTTAGGGTCTCTGATTTCAGCGGTGAACTTACCCCACGATCGTCTCCTGACACCTCTATAATGCCTCTCCTCGCACGATTCAACTGCAACCGGAGCCGAAGCCATGTTAACATTTGCAGGTGGGATCATAACGTTAATACAAGGACGAAGTCGGCTAAGAGTGGATTGCTTTAGCTGCTGGTTTGGGGTGTAAACATTAGATGGGCTGGAAATCATGAAGGTTTCCATGGAAGCAAAATCAGTAAGGAGATGTTGCCTTATGAGTTCCAACTGAGCTGATGTTTCTTCAGAAGATCCCATTGCGCATGAAGATAAATTCAGACACGGAATTTAAGATGGAAGTTGGAGAATTGAGAAAGAAAGTGATGGGTTTGAGTGGAAAATTGAGTGTGCGGTGGGTTAGTATTTAAAGGGAGGCTTAAATACACCATTGTACTTTTAAGTATGTCACTTATATTGAGTTAATTTTTAAAGTAATTTTTTATATGTTTTGACTTTTAAATTTTAAGTTGTTACCTCATCCATCTCAAATTGTTAAGAAATTTTTTTAGTGATCAATCAAAACACACACATGTCATCCTTTAATTTTCATTTTTTAATCTAAATAAATAAAATAAATTATATTTTAATTATTAAATAGGTTTAATTAGAAAATAAGTGCAAAAATTATATTGTTTTTCCTAAATGGGTGCCTAATTTATTTTTTCAATTCTTCCAAATGTTACGTTACAATTTTAGGTGTCTCGATCATTACGGTCGTTAAATTTTGTCGTTAAAGGAAACATGTCATATTCTAGTAATTGTATACTTTTATTTGAAATTAAAAAATTAAAATTATATTTGAAAAAATCCCAAAAATTTTGAAAAACTTAAAAAAAATAAAAAATTTTAAAAACTTAATTTCAACCCCTAAACCCACGTCGACCACCGTCCTTTACCGTCGATGAACCTCTATCAGACGACCAATAACCCCATGAAAAGCCACCGGAACATGAGCCAATCAACGTGTGTACCCCAACGAACCCCGACACTGCAAATTGTTACACCACGTGATCCCAACGACAAGGATGACGACGTCTGACTAGGAAGATAGCAAGGACAATGTCGGAAGCGATGGGCGTGGTCAGTAAGGATGATGTGAGTGGGTTAGGATTAGGGATTTAGTATTTTTAGGGATTTAGGATTTTTCGTAATTTAAGAGAAATTAGGATTTTGAAAATATAATAATTTTTAAAAACCTTTTCAGTAAGGATGACATGTGTCACTTAACGAAGTTTTTTAATGTCCGTTACGATCGGGGCACCTAAAGTGAGAACGTTTATAACGTTAAGCATCTGGATGAATCGGAAAAAAGTTTGGACACCTATTGGAAAAAGCGGCATAGTTTTGATTGGTAATCGTTTTTTAACGGGGTTAACGTTTTGGGGTAAACGATATAACAATTTAAACTTTAGAGGGCAAAACGTCTCGAAAAATATTTTAAGAGACAACTCAGTAAAAATAATATACTTTAGAGAACAATGGTACATTTAAGCCTTAAAGGGAAGAAGAGGAAGTATGTGTTGTTTATTAATATTCCATGAAGGTCCCTTATGTTTCTATAAACTTTCTGAGGTGCTTGCTCCCTCTTTATATAATTTAAATATTATTTTATATTATTGAAAAGTGTATTAATATTTCATGAAGGTCTCAAAAAATTTTGTTTCGTTTTAGTACCTCAAAAAACTTAACGGATGAATGGGTAAATTATATCATTCATCATTCAATTATTTTCTCACTCTTATTTTAGTCACTAAAGTTTATTTTTTTTAATTTAATGACTTAAATTTCAAATTAATCCTAATTTAATCACTCTAACTTATTAATATATATTTTTAGTATAATCACCGATATATAATTTATTAATCGATTAATTTGGATCGGGTACTACAGAAGTGGGAGCGACCCTCCCAACCCAATTTGCTCCTTTCATAAATGTTAGGATTTGAATCCCTGATTTTAATATCCCAAAATTTATATGGGTGACTGAAAAGTAAATTTTAAAAGTTTATGGATTAAAGTGTAAATTTATAAAAGTTTAGGGACTAAAAATGTAAATTTTCAAGAATTATATGTCTATAATTGAGTATTTCAGCCCAATAATATAATTCTAGTGGGTTTTATAATTTTTATTTGAAGTTGATATAAAAGTTTATTAAGTGATAGAGTTTGGTAAAATATTCGGATAATCGGATCATATTGAAAGCGTACAAAAATTTTAAGCAAGGAAGTTTGAGGTTAGAAAAATTATATTTATATTTTTAATTAGTATAATTTGATGTGATTTAGTGGAATTTGGAGGAATTTTCATGTTAAAGTGGAATAGTAAAATTTAGTGACTAAATTGAATTTTTGGAAAATTAGAAGAGCGAAGATGGAAATTGATAAATGATATTTTTACATTTATTTAATGATATTAAAATGGTGATAAAAGGATACATGATAGTAAAAATTAGGATTCATTAAGGGTATTTTTGACTTTTTGGCTAAAATGATTTTTTAATTGTTTTTAAGATAAATTAAGAGATATTTGTATGGAAAACTCAAGAAAATTCCTTCCATCTTCTCCATTCTGCTGTGAATCCATAACCAAGGTGAGAATTTTTTTTCCATTTTTGATCCACTTTAGTGAGAATTTGGAATAAACTGTGAAATAAGAAAATGTTCTACACTTAATTCTCTACAAATTGGTATAAGTATTTCATTGTTTCATGCTTGTGAAGTGGGTATTTATGGTGGTTGATTGGTTGAAATAAGATTAAATTTTGATTTTATGATTGTTATGGAAGTATAAACAAGCATGAAAATTGATTGGAAATGATTATGGGGACTTAATTGAAAGTTTTGGCCATTATGAGGTTTTGGGGAGAAATATTGAAATTGGTTTATCTTGATATGTGATTGATATAGAATTGTTGGACATGATTAAATTGGATTTAAAGATGGTTTTTCATGCCTTAGAATTGAGTTTTTGATCGTTATGGAACAATGTTGAGTTAGGAGGTGACCCGATCTGATCCGGAGTGTCACATTAAGGCTACCGGAGCAACCCACGGAAAAATTCCCGGTAAAAATTTAATTTTTTTGTTAAAATGTGTAAAATCATTAAAAAAATTATAATTAAAAATACAAGTTTAGAAAACTATTCATATATATATATATATATGTTATATACAGAATTAAAATCATACATGTTCATACTCATTATAAAAACCAAATGTAACCTACATGCCCCCTAACTACACTTGTATTGTACTCTGTAAGCAAAACCGAATAGAACTCCTTTACTGATGTCGATAGATGTCTTGGATCAAATCTTTTAACCTGAAATGAAAAGTAAAAAAGAGTAAGCTTTGGAAAGCTCATTAATACAGAACTACCAAGTGATGTCGAAGAACATGCAGATAAATGGAAAACCGTAACATTTTCTTGTTGATTCAAATGTCTACAGATTTTCAGGATGAGTTGCGGTTCCACTGGTATTTCTTCAAGTAAAAGCCATGAAGATTTCAGTTCATAAGAAACATTCAGAGTACCATACTTTCAGGGAATTGGAATAGGATATCTAGTGTGTTCCAACCAAAACCAGTGAAAAGATATAATTTTTTAAAACAGTAACAATTTAAAACATATTTTTAAAACCATATTAGAACCCTCCAACCGAACATCATTATGCAGTTCCCCAGAACTGCATCCATAAGGATTTACCCTAAGCACACAACAAAGGGAGCCACCCTACGGTAATACCTTGAGGCCCGAGAGGCTACCCAATAAAGTGTCTCGGGGCCTCGAAGCCTAGCCAAGGGTCACCTTAGGTCCATAAGGATTTACCAGCTTGATCAGATCTGAACCTCTATACTCCAAAATCCTACCCATACCATATCCAGTAGAAATCATATTTAACAATAAAATGTAATATCTAGATCGTGATACACTAAAATGTCGTAAACGTGAAAATGAAATAAACCATATAATTGCCCTTTACCCGTACACCATATGTAGTCTCATGATTAACCCAATGGAGTGCCTTGGGGCCTGAAAGCTTACCCAAGAAAGTTTTTCGGCGCCTTAGAGCCTACCCAAGGGTCACCTTAGGTTTGAAAGGATTTACCAGCTTGATTAGAGCTGAACCTCCATACTCTAGCCTACCCAGATAATGTCCCAATAAAACAGTTCAAGAAGTAACCAGTGAAAACATGAAACCATAGTTCATAAACCAGTAAATTCCATGATTCCATAAATCAAGAACTCCATGATTCCATAAATCAGGAACAATCATATTTTTTATAGAGAAAATCGTAATCAGAGAACACATACCATATAAACATGGTTCATAAGCTAGTAAATCAATAAATTTCGGTGAAACAATTTTCAAAACATATAAGACAGTCATGTAGCACATAGGGAACACACTAGAGGATCCAAGTATTTTTCAGAGATACTTGGTAGTTATCAGGAATAGAAAACATGAAACTTATGTAATTTGATCATATTCCAGGATCTAGGTCTTATAAAAAGAGATCAAATACTAATAGATCTATCGTACATTTAAAGTTGATACTTTAGGACCCCTTTATGATTTAGGTGCATGAGGAAGGTGTTCAAGAATCTTTACTTCTGGATAATTCTAGATTCAGATTTATTGAGAGTGATTCCATTATTTAGGCCAACAAAGGAATTTTAGACATTATGATTTCTAATGGATTCCTAGCAACTTAATCTAATAAGGGTGAAACGTTGATTCATGATATTCAATATTCATGTCAATTTATTAGGATATCAGGTCAACTCGAACTAATAAGGGTGAAACGTTGATTCATGATATTCAATATTCATGTCAATTTATTAGGATATCAGGTCAACTCGAACTGAACATCTTCAGAACCATTGTTGAACATATATTGAGGAACTCTACGTATACTGATGGTATTTGTTTTATTTATGAATTGCAACAGTCTCCAAGATGACCAACGTACTTGAGTCATACTCCACAAACTTTAGAGGCGATACAATACTTAGGTTTTCTCGGTGTTTCCAGAATTGTCCAGTAATGTTCACTTATTTCTAGGTCATGAAGGTATTTGGGTCATTTTTGTACTCGATGTTACTTTAGTAATCTTATATTTCAAGGTATTCCAATCATTTTCTTTGATTTAGTCATATATATATATATCAATTCTCATAATTTAATTATCAGGTGGTTCCAAAATAAAAAATTCTAAATCTTTTATCACCTCGGGAATTAAAATCGGTAAACAGGATATTTCTGAACAAACCGAGTATTTATCAAGTTAATAAGTAGTCTATCAGATCCATGATGACATTTTAGGGTT